TGAAGCTGCCGGATCGTTCTTCGCTGCAACTTCCAGCAAACCTCCTCCACGTGGTGTGGTTGCTTACAGACGCTGGAGGATGAACCAAAATGCAAGGATCAACAAGGAAAGCTGCCGACGTCCGCTAGCTGGAGGCTCATGAACAATGCAAGGAAAATATACATGCAAAAATAAATCAATCAATTGACCGAGAGAAGGGCCAACTGACCGGCACCGGCGCTGAGCAGAGAACAGGGGGCGCTACGGAAGAACAGCGACAGCAAGCTTCGCCGGAGAAGAAACCAGATCTACCGCCGCAGAGGGAAACGCAGAAATGGGGAAGAAAGGTCAGGTGGGGGTGATATGAACGAGTATATTCGACAGCCAAAGCTGTCGAATATACAGAGGAAACGATGTCGTTGCCGACCATAAACATCTTCGTCAGCCAAAGGCTGTCGAATATATTTGTATATTCGACAACTTTTTTGTCGAATATAAATACTGTCGATTAAACAAGAAATTTCCATTATCATCGTCAATTTTACATCTTCGTCAATCTTTCTGTCGATTATCTAGATATTTTCGACAGGAATGTGGCTGTCGAATATAATATGGTCGCAGATGCTGCGTTTTCCAGTAGTGGCCCAAATGGCAACCCAAGAGGGAGTGAATTGTGTTTTCAAAAATTTTATACGACTTTCAAAAACTTTATATAGCTTTCAAAAAAAAAATAATGAACAAGCAAAAATAATTGCAAACAACCACTTTGTAAGTACATGAATTAAAAGATGAGGGAAGAAAAAGTTCGAACAGAAGAATTTATACTGGTTTTGATCACAATTTGTGATTAATTCACTTTTAAAGCTGTTTGCTTGAGAGTTAGTTTTGGATTTAGAATCTCTCCGTCGACTTTCGATTGTAGAGGCAATCACTTGCAATAGTTTTGTCAAAGTTATTTATTTTCAATAGCTTAGCCGCTTGTTACAATTTCGTACAAACTCAATCTTATCTCACAAGGATGATTTTTTTAAAAAAATTTAGCAAGATTAATCAATCACTTTTCAAATAGATTATGGGTGCTATTGAACTGTTTAATCCCCTCGTTATAAATCTCTCAACTTTTTTTATCCCTCAAAGATGAATAACTAAATCTAATAGGGTTTTCCCAATTTCTCTCATTTGTTACAATGAAAGAGAACAAGAAAATAAGAAATTTTGGAAAGCACAAAGTAAAAATTTAATCATTCTTGGTTTTTCAACTGGAGGACTCTATGCTTTGGCCTTTTCCATTCTTTCAGATCTGGTTTTATAACTTGAGAATGCTTAATCAGTGTGTTTTATTGTTGAAACTCCTTTTTGGAATGAATATATTTTAAATATGATACGTAAATTAATGTTTTAGCACAAAGGGTTGGAACTCGAGTAATTTCTTACATAATTTTGCAAAACATAGAATTATTAAGGGTTTCAAACACTATCTCAAAGGTTGGAACCTTAACGGTAGAATATACTTTCTATTGTTGGCTTTCCTACAACAAAGAAATATAATCATGTAATTAAATGGACTTTCACTATAAATAAAACATATTTAAAACACAATATTTAGAAATTTATTAAAATCAATCAAATATATATTTTAATTCAAAAGTAAATCAAGTAAATATTACAATTTATAAATAAGTTAAGGTAATATTTTAATTCACATTTGATTTTTAAAT